AATGTAAGAAGGACATCAGACTATTAGAGTGTGTCCAGAGGAGTGTGACCAAGATGGTGAAAGGCCTTGAGGGCAAAACTTACATGGAGCAGCTGACGTCACTTGGCTTGTTCAACCTGGAGAAGAGAAGGCTGAGGGGTGACCTCATTTCTGTCTACAACTTCCTCAAGGTGGGCAGCAGAGGGAAAGGTGCTGATCTCCTCTCTCTGGTGAGCAGCAATAGCACATGAGGAAATGGAATGAAGCTGCATCAGGGGAAGTTCAGGTTGGACATTAAGAAAAGGTTCTTCACTGAGAGGCTGGTCGGTCACTGGAACAGGCTCCCCAGGGAAGTGGTCATGGCACCCAGCCTGTCAGAGTTCAAGTATTCAAGCAGCGTCTGGACAATGCTCTTAGTCATATGGTTTAGTTTTAGGCAGTCCTGTGAAGAGCAGGGAGTTGGAATCGATGATCCTTATGGGTCCGTTCCAACTTGAGATATTCTATGATTGCATCTTTTTTTTCTATGCATATGCTACTGGCTAAAACAGTAGATAGACCTTTGGTCTAAAATGCTGTGGTTTTCCTTACATTTTGAGAAACAGTCTACCTTCTGTCATTCTTGAAAGTATGAAGTAGGTAGGATTTAACAGTACAAAAGAGCTGATTCTTAAAACTAGAAATCTTGGTTTTGTCTGATGGTTGACTAGCTGTTAATCAGAACTTTCTAACCTCTTGTTTTGTCTGCTAGCTAATATATTCTACTACTTTGCTATGCACACATTCACTTATAAAAATCAATAAAAAAGATTGGAAAGTTCATTGCTGCTCTGGTTCTTTATGTGTTTGTTATGAATAACAATGTTTGTTCAGACAAACCTTGGAATAATTGTAAATTTGAAATGCAGCCTCACCTAAACTAGAGAAGGTACTTTAGAGAATTGTAGGGCAGCATCTTATAAAAACTGAGGACATTTAAAAACTTATTTCACTGACAGTCTGAAACTTTCGTTTGTTCCACAGTGGACTCTGTTTTCTTTTAGAGAGATTCATCAACACACTATATATGTGTGTCTCATCAAAATTGCTGATGCAAGGAGTTAAACCTTAGATGTTGCAATGTTCACAGGTTTATGAAACTCCATAGTTATCATAAGCTTAAACCTTCTTTTTTTGCTGAAAGTTTAGATAGGCTCAAGGGGATACTGGCGAGGTACCTTGAAGAGGAGTCTACTGAGGAATATTAAATACACAAAATCACATCTGTGTCAGGAAGTAACCTGAATTGAAGGTAGTGGCAGCGTGGATGGTAGCAGGAGGGAGTACTGTGTATGCTTGTCCTGTTCTTATTCTTTGCTATGTATCTGTTCCTGCCTGCCGCTGCTGGTAGCAAGATGCTGAGCTGGATCAATCTTTGGTCTGATCTGGTATGAATGAAAAAAAGGAGGATGTCTTGCTCCAAGTGTTCTTGCTTTCTCTCAGAGATCAGTAATTTCATATGACTAGGAAGAAAGAACAGGCAGAAAGATTTGAACTGCTGATACTGAAAGAACCATCTCTACTTATGCCTTTCATTAGTTCCCAGAGATCCACCTAACAGGACAAACTTGTTTGTAAGGCTGCATGTGATTCATTGATAAGATGCATTTTCATGGCTGGCACTGTTAACTCTTTGGTTGTGGCCTATCACAATTTTGCATTTAATTGCTTTAAAAGGATTAGTTCTTAAAACGTTCATTTTTGCTTCTCTTTCTTGGGTCTCAAACTCCTAGGGATTATTTAATCTTCAACTTTAAGAGTTTTACTAAGGAAAAATTCTGGTTTTGTTATTGCCTTCTGATTTGGTAGACAAAAACATTCATAGCTGTAGTCTTACAGGTGTGCTGCTTTGGTTGGGATCACCAGTGACATTTCCTTTCAATAGTTGCAAGCAGCACTGGTACCATGAAACAGAATGTAAGTTTATTGTAGCTGCCCCAAAATCAACCTGGTATGTACTACATGATCTTCACTGGTAGCCTGAAGAACAGTTACACTTTGTCTTTCATGGATGACTTCATTTTGATTAATCTGCATTTGTCTTGTCCTGTTTAAGGTTCTTGGAGAAGACAAGAGTATTACTCCTTTGTGTTATGTATTGTTCATAATTATTTTCAGCTGTCTCGTGTCCTGCAGGTTGATAAAGAGGACCGTAGGTCTTATTTTGTCAAGGCAGTAAATGCTTTCTTCCTCAAAAATGGGGAATAGATTTTGGTCAATAATAGATTTTTTTTCTGTCACTTTTCAGTTGCTAACTGAATTTATTGATAGTGCATGGAAGATCCTGTTAGGTTAGAGCAATTATCTGGCTTCCAGATTTCCTTCCATTGCTACCCTGCAAAGTCTTCTGTATAGTTAACTCTTCCCTTGGGTATAGTTACAGCTTGATCAAATTTAATGCATATTCTCATATTTATTTCATGAGGTTGTGTGAAATAACTTACAAGCACCACTTTCCTAGGACATGTCCACAGCTGAAGGGTGTTGGCAAAGATCCTGCTTAGTGTTAGGCTGGGTAACGAGAGGAGTTGGTTGCCTCCGAAAGTTCTGATGTGGAAAGATGGCAGTCAACCTGCTATCCTGAGGGGAAGAGTTTGGTGTTGAAATCCTAGTTCTGAATCTCAGATGCTGCTGGTAGATATGAGTACAACTAAAATAATGCCAGGATATCAAGTTTTCAATGCATTTATTTGCTCATGTGAAAAATGGCATCAACTTTTTTTAATCTCAATGTTCTTTTTCATTCTAAAAGTGGCATCTCCTTTTGCACTATGCTCATGCAGTGATTGTAGATTCAGAAGGAAGGTTACTTACTAAATCAGCAGTAGTATTTGCCATATCTCATATTCAGTGCAGCTAGACCAGAATATCTTGACTTTGTGTTACAGCAGCACAGATCACAATATGAGGTTGGAAGTCTACAGGCTGCATCTCTTTAATGTGAAGCTGTTGTGGTTGCAGCTCTGACTGGGAAACTGCCAACCTTTTTTGTGAAGGACACAAACAAATAAGGGGAAGTAGGGGGGAAAAAACCCCTCTTATTCCAGACTTTTTTTTTCGCATTGTGGTGCATTGTGTATAAGTGTGTAGGGTTTTAAAAGCACTAGCAAGGCTTTATGGCATATCTGCAAAATAGGTCAAAACTATGTTCATTATAAGGAGACTTGCACTAAGGCACAGGCTTGTGACCAAATATATGCTTCCAGCTGGGATGAAGTTTGGCATTTATTTTACTCTCTGGAATACTGTATAGAAACTAGCTGTGTTTCTGCTCTGTGTGTGTATGTCTATGCATTTACAGTATGGACTGTTTAACAAGTATTTGCGTTATTAATGCTAGACTGGGTAATTGATGTTTGGCATGCCAACTGGAAATTCAAATAGTTTGTCTTTTTCCTATGCTGAGTGAACAACAATTTCTGTATTTTAATGTTTCAAAGGTTTATTAAAAGGTTTTAAAAAAAAAAGAAAAATGTTTCAGTTAAAGATGGATATACTAAAATTATTTTTAGGTAGTCACTAGGTCACTGATCTGCAACTGTTATACACAGCAGAAAAAGTTATGTCTTAAACGCCATTCCAGGAATAAACTGTGCGTGAACAATCCATATCTGTGTTTAAAGACTTAGTGATATATCAAGGTCCATATGGACCTGTGAGTCTGCTTGTGTGGAACTCACTGCAGGATGAGTTTTAAATTGTGAACACCTTATCTGTTTATTAGAACTTCTGTCCAGCACCAAGCATAGCACTTATGAAGAAAATACGTATGAAAAATTATGAGAAATGCTTTCTACTCACATGTTCTTGTAGTATTTAGAACCTGCTTTTGGAAGAAACCCACAGTTGTTCTTTTTGGAAAAGCGTGCGTCACTGGTATTATGTTGGATTTTATAAAAATAAATCTTTAAAAATAGGAATGGTGATTTTTAAGATCAAAGGGTAAGCACCTTTATCAAACAAGATTAACGGTCCTATAGAAATGCTTGGGAGGGATTTGTTCTCTGTGTGTATAATCCTTTAATGATAATCTGCATTACAAATTCATCAGAAAAAGTATGAACTGTTCCTTTGTTTCCAGCATTTCAAAGGCATCTATTTCTGCAGAATCCTCATGAGCCACCAGAATCTGGGTTGTTTTATAGACTGTAAATTTTCTTTTGAAAATTGATGAATAGTATGTCAAATGATTAGATTATGAAGTATAACAAAGATTAGGATTTTCAGTCACATTTATGAATTCACATACTCTCTTTTCCTGGCATGCATGTGTTGTATGACCAAGTGAATAGGTTGTATAATCGGCCAGTTCTGGCAGGTTCAGTGGTCTAGACTTTCCCAGGATGTCATGATTTATATTTTAACCAACAAGGAATTTTTAGGATCTGCACATCTTTAAGAACCAGGTGATTGATAGGATTGATAGTCCCTCAACTTTAATTTCTGATACAAAAAAGCAACCCTAGTCAGGAAAACAGCATGTTCATTGCTGTCTGTGGTTGGGGCATCCATGCTTTAAATGCATAGTTTAGGAGATATATTTTTGAAAGAAGGGTTTATGTTCAATGCTCTGTTTTCCAGAAAGGTTTCCTTGGTAGTATTTTCGGATATATTATTATTATTATATAAAAATAGTATGAAGTTCTTCCTCCACAAACACTCACTGATCATTTTGTCATTAAGACCATGAGAGGTTGCAAGAAAATACCAACAGCTGGATTAGAACTGTCTGTTCAAAGCAGATGAGGTCAATATTATTCCCCTCTGTTTACAAAAGAAATTGTTTCTTCTGCCATTAGACATAAGACACAAGTTACATGTGTTACACACAAGTTACATGTGTGATGTGTTCCTATATTACTCAAATACCTTACACGATGGAGTCGATTTTCCTCCCATGTTTATTTTACTGGATTCTTTGAAAATGTAGCTTCAAAACTGTTAAGTATTCTATTTGGTTTTTTGTGTTTGTTTTTTTCCAGACTGATCTTGATTACGTTAACAGTGTTGTTGCAAGCCTGGAAAAAGAGTAAGTTGTAGTTTTAATGGGGGACTTCTTAGCTTATTGGTGGGTTTGCTTTTTGTTTTTTCCTAAATCAGGTTGTGATAAGTAATAAAAAGTATTCTGGAAATATGAGATCATGCATTTTTTGTTTCTTGGGGGTTTGGGCTTTCAAACAACAAAGTAATAGATGACAAATTAAGGGGCAGTGATTCAGTCAGTTAAATTGTAAAACAATAAATGGGATTAAATTATTTGGTGCCACATAAACAGATGGGATTAGTTTAACATGAATGGAAATTTGTGACATCTGTGTTAGGGCCTTGTATTTCATATGTTCAAAGAGAACTATAGAAAAAAACACTAGGTTCTTAAAAAAAGGAAAGGCAAAAGAAGTGTTTAGAATCTACTTAGAATTCTGATTATTGGGCAAGAGCCTATACTGCTCCAAAGAAGATGCTAAGAAAACCAGTATTTTTTTATATACTACTTTTGTTTTATGTGCCTCATTTGAATAAGTCATTGTTGTAACCAGACATAGTAATTGTACCAACAGAAAGCAAGAAGGAAGTCTACAGAACTCAGAATCTCTCATGTGACTTTAGGATGTTTCTATTGACAGGTTTTCTACAGAGATCAATTCTGGTTTGGTGGAAGTAATAGCCCCTCCTGCAACTTACTATCCCGACTTGACAAACTTGAAAGAGACATTTGGAGACTCAAAAGAGAGAGTGAGGTCAGTTTATTCCCCCAGATTTTTCCCATCTCCTCCCACACCCACACTTCTGTTGTTTATGAAATGGCCAGTGGGATGTGAATTCTTGAAACATTTTCTTACTGTAATTCTTGAAAGTGCAGGGATGCTAAAAGTGCTCTGTGAATCCATCTCATTCCTGCATGCTGTTCTGTGCGTGATCAGAGCCTAATGCTATGCTTGATTGAATTCATTTAGTGTAGAATTTTGGGAGGAGAACTGAGACTTGATACACTTTTTTTGCTCTATGTAGACTTTTTTGTTTATTGTTTTCTTCCTGAAATACAGTGTAAAACCCAGTAATTCC